TATTGACAATCCTATATAACGCTGAGGCTGTAGAAAAGATGTGCTTTGATCACTGTGATTAAATAACACAAGCAACACATTTTACACCCAGCTTAAGTCTCCCGTGTGAGCGAATACAGAAGCATCAGTCATGTAGAGAGCAAACTCAGCCAGCGCCTGTGATCCATCACAACTCTGAACCCTCATCCAGACCCTTTCATGGGCTTTGCTTTTTTTCCATCTTGAAATCACAAAACTGAGCAAAGAAACCGCACTAGCTCGTAGCACAGTGACTCAACACACCTTCATCTGTTGATGGCCTCAAAAAGTATTTCAACACCTAACAAACACTTCAAAATACAGTATATGAATGAGTTGACCCATTAGCACTGATAGCATTGAATGGATAAGGTTTAATACAGGAGTCATCAATGGCTGAATGTAAACAGACCCAAAGCCCTTCACTACAAGCTATCATTAAAAAACAAAAGTTGCTATTAAAAGTTTTTATTTCACCAGAATATACCGCTACTTTTTAATCGCTGTCAATTGAGACAATTTGTGTATATAACATGTCATGTCATAATAATCTGAAGAAATGCAATCATTACTTTTATGCATTACTGTGTTTTGATTCTGAGGAAGATCACTTTGAGAGAGAAGTATTAAATATTAAAACAGAGAATAAGCTATTCATTTACCATTTAAGGCAAGACACCACAAGCAAAAGCATTGTTTTTTCATGCACTGGTCAATTTCGAGATCTGTTTGGGTTTTCATATCATGTTATTTCAGACTACATCCAAAAGATCCATATTTGGATGAAAACATCCAAAAGATACATTTAAGTGTTTATTTTATTGCACTTTATCTATTTGCGTCTGTAGATTTCAATTGCAATACACATCTTTATTTATATATAAACACTGATATGTCAACAAAATGACAAGAATTTTGAACCTGGCTTTATCCAATGTTCAGATTTTTTTTTTTGTTCTGCAAACTAGTGCATATTTAATTAGATAATACCTCATTTAAATATTTAAACAACATTTCAGAAAACTAATACAAAAAATGTTTGCAGTTCCTATTGTAATCAATCAGCTAGGGAAGTATGATGATATCTATTAGTTAAACTTTTTAAATTATCATAACTTGTCAGATAAATTCCTCAAACATGAACTTATAAAAAGTTCAAAATGTAGTGCACTAGTTGAAGCACATCAGAACTGGACATTGCCGGGCCCAGTGAGTTTGAATATGGACACATTATAAATGATATTGATATTTGACTATGGCAGTACAGTATGTTTATGCAAACATTGAATGGATGGAAACAGGCGATCGCAGTCAGGAAGTAGTATGTTTTTTTCTCAATTCAAAACTGCAGATTTGAATTTATTGGTTTATGGAAGAAGCATAAAGCACACTGTAAAAAATCTAATTAACAAAATGTTGGAAGGGCAAAAATATTTAAGTTGAGCTAATTTTATTGCTTGAGAGGACATATTATATTAAGTCTACACAAATATATTTGAAAAACATTGATTGAACGGTTATTTTCAAATCCAGTCAACAATTAGCTATGCTAATGTTGACTAAACTAATAAAAACGAATCCAGCCAACACTGAGATCATTCTGCACGTGCACGAGCCCGAGTGACTTCGCGGGAGAAACAGCGCCATCTTGTCAAGTTCACGAGTCAGGTAAGTGCCACTAAATAAATGCTATTTTTTAGACAACATTTTTAGTCACAAGAGACCATGGCTTAGTAAATATTGGGACAATTGATCAATCAATTTGTAAAACGTCACCACTGGTATTTATCAACAACAGGCAGGCATATTTTGATATTATTTTAATGCTGTTTAAGGTAGACTTATAATATGAAATGTGCATGTTCTGTTACAAATCCTTGCAACTAATGAACAGTCAACATCAATGCTCGCTGTGTTGTGCGATGGATTGAGATTTTTTATGTGCCAAAAAAAAAAATGGTTGCAACTTCTGTTTCATCACAAATTTAATTAACTGGTATTACATTTTAAATTATTTAAAAGGCATGATTTCATTTCTTGAGATAAATTGTACTTTATTTCTCCATCAGGGTGTGGCCAAAGGTTTCATTGGTGCTTTCTCATCATTGCAAGTTTTCAGATGCTGGCCAGTCACTTCTTCCAAGGCCCCAAACACTGCCATGTGACCAGACTGCACCACTGCAACTACATAGTGTGTGTGTCCTTTCAACACTAAGACTTAAGGTAATATGTGTAAAAGTTTAGAGTGTTTACTACAATTAAAATGTGCTTTATTGTTCTCAGTGGCATCTACGCTAATATTAGACTGTCTCATTCTTATTCCGAGGTCACCGTAGCCACCAGATCCAGTCTGTATCCAGATCAGATGGTGGATCAGCACCTAGAGACGCCCTCGACAGCCCTGAATGTCAGCGGAGACCAATATAAAATATAATAACTAGTTCCACAGCAATTTCTTATGATGCCCAAATAATAAATCTTAGTTGAGGTAACATATGAAACACATGGAGCGAATGGTTAAATTTTAATTGACACAATTTGCTGTAGTTTTCTAAATGTTTGACCAATTTAATAATTTTAGTTGAATGGACTATAAAACTGTTTCAGTAAAGTTTGAGCCAACTAAAAAATAACAATTCAGGCAACACTTTGAAGACAGAAATTGACTGAACGTAACATTTCTGTGGAACTTGTTACTAAATAATAATTTGTTTAAACGGCTTGAAATTTTTTACAGTGCTCAGCTTCATAATCCATTGAGTGTATACGTAAACGTGCACAGGTGACGTCAAGCGTTTATTTACACATCGTTACACTGACCGACAGTAGAAATTTTACTTCTCAAAGTATTTGTTTTTAAGAATATAATATTCACAGACACGTGTAACCACACCATATTAGGACAATTAATACACACCACAAATGACTTTTTACACCACCACTTCTGATCAATTTAATTTGAATTGGATCTTATGAACAATAATGCCATTTTATTGAATAAAAGACAAGCTATCTCAGTTTTGGTTAAGTTGTGTTTTTACTGCAAAAAGCACTCGACTTCATAAATATTACTGTTATGACCTGGATAAAACTCCTAAGCTGAATGAACACCTAAATGAAGTTACTGATTAACTTACGTTACCCAGAACCAATTTGCCTGTCAGCACCTGCCCTCTATAGAATTACATATAAAAGTCTTCAGTTTCCTCCAGCACATTAACCTTCTCACCAGGTAAGAATGAAGTAACTTTGCTATCTCTGATCTAATGATCCACTTTTTTTTTTTTTCCATATCTTGCTGTAAGATAGTGTTTTGTGAACAGAATTGCATGATTTGTCTGTCTGTTGATGCCATTCTGAACTACAATCATTATTATAATTTTGAAATTAAGATTTGAAGCTGTACTGTTTGAATATATCATGTTAACAGTTTCAATACACCATGTATATAACATTGTACTATAACATTTGTGACCCTGGACCACAAAACCAGTCATAAGGGTCAATTTTTCTAAATCGAGATTTATACATCATCTGAAAGCTGAAAAAATAAGATTTCCATTGATGTATGGTTTGTTAGGATAGGACAATATTTGGCCGAGATACAACTATTTGAAAATCTGGAATCTGAGGGTGCAAAAAAAATCTAAATATTGAGAAAATCGCCTTTAAAGTTGTCCAAAGGAAGTTCTTAGCAACGCATATTACTAATCAAAAATTAAGTTTTAACATATTTACAGTAGGAAATTTACAAAATATCTAAATGGAACATGATCTTTACTTAATATACTAATGATTACATTTTATACAAAATATAAAAATATGAAATATGCCAAATTTGAAAGGGATTCTTTAGCGGGAGAGTTTGAGTTAACATAAACATAATAAATAAAGCTTTTTTTTGTTTTGTTTGCGATATATTACACACATTTTAATCACGCATTTCATATGAAGTCTAAATAAGTGTCATAGGTAAAATATTACAGTATCAGTCAGTAGTATTTCTTTAGTGTAGCTGTTCTACAATTTTATATGGAGTTTATTTATCATACAGAACCTTAGCCTATATTAAATGCAAATACTTGTCTAAAACTGTCAAATGTTGCATTCAATACAAAACTTTGACTTTTTTAATCATGTTGCAAGTGGCATATTCACACATTACCTCACCAGCTTTACAATAGTATTGATTACAGTACATCATGGTGTTCGTTCAGCATTCATTTAGAACGATCACTTGATAAAAGTGATAAAAATGTAAAAGGAAAACTCAACGACAACTTTACACATCAGGTGTAGATATACGATTCTCAGATATACAAGAGTTTAATAAATATGAAAATACACTCTACAATTTATGTCAAAGAGAAATGGATGACAGAAGTGAAATAATCTTCACTGATGAAGAGTGGTCAACTGTATGGAAGTTTTAACAGAAATTGACTACACTAAATTGGAAGAAATATTGTTGGAAAGACATTATTAGATATTTTATAACACCAATACAAACAGGTAAATATAGTAATAAAACTCCAACATATTGGTGAAACTGTGGCTGTAATGAAGCGAACCATTATCATAATTTTTGGGAATGTCTACATATTGATGAATAATGGAAAGAAATACTAGAGGCCCTTGAACATATTTTTAGAAGCGACATACCTCTAGAAAGCAAATTAATTAATTTTGGTTGTTTATGTCCATATATAGGCTAGTATCAGTTGCCTGATTTGATTATTTTTTTTTTTTTTTACCTGATAGGTGAGCTTTTGGAGTATAATTTACATTTAAAACACATTAGGAAATTGTTCTTGTCTTTATATTGCATTGAGCACTATACTGTATGTAAACTGATTTACATGTAAGTGTATATTATGTGATTTTTAAAAAATTTTAACAATCCTTTTTTGCGTGGTTTGTTGAAACAACAACAGATTCTGTGATTAACTGCAGAGACTGGTCTAAACGCACTGAGCATCACTATGATGTTGCTGCATGTGCTGCTCCTCCTCTGTGGTGAGTATTTAACTTTGCCTGAACCAAATTTTGCTTGTTTCTTTTCCTCATACAACACAAATGGATTTTGATTACTTAAAATCAAAATGGCACATATGTTTTCCAACATGTATTCCATTAGAAGGTATGGTGCTAAAAACGGAATATTTCTCCTCAGCTTTTCCTCTTTCAAATGCTAAAGGCAGACTAAGAGAATTCCAACTAATAAATGGAAGATTCACCAGAACTCTTGCAGTGAATGCATGCAGAACAAACTACACTGACCTCGCCACAGTTTATGACCAACAAGACAATATACAATTAAGGACACTGCTCATTAATGTTCCTGATCCACCTAGTGGATGGATCGGTGCAAAGATAGGAAATAGTAACCGTAATAAATGGTCAAATGGTGATGATGTCACATTTCGCAGAAACATTACAAGTTATGTGGGATCACGCTGTGCTGCTATGACTTCAAATGGAGACTGGGAATTTCTCACATGTACTGAGACAAGACACTTCATGTGTTATAAGCAAGGTAATAAAATACTACCTTATAAACTGTTAAATATACGTAAACAAAACATATAGCATATTCTTGCATCCATACAGATGTTGAGCGACCATTATACAGATTAATGCTTCGAAACAAAACCTGGTTTGAGGCTCAGCTGTACTGCAGAGAGAAGCACACTGATTTAGTCAGCATCAGAAATGAAGAGGAAAATGAACAGGTGCAGGAAGACGGAAACAAGAGTAGGAATCCTTTCTGGATCGGCCTGCTGGAGGACAAGGTGGAATGGTCTGATGGAGGACAATCTGCTTACAGAAACTATGCAAACACACCGGGCAGAGGAGAATTTATGTTTATGCTTCGAGATGGGAGTTGGTGTAGGAGTACAGACGACCATGGTAGACATTCCTTATGCTACAGTAAGACAAGACTTGTACTGATATTGAAATTTCTTGCAAAATAAATCCTGTTTTAATTCAAGGTATTTCACTAGTTTTACATGTTTTTGTTTTTTTCCCCAATTTTTTTTGTCAGAGAGTTTCATTCATGTGAGTCCGGGTGAAATGTCCTGGGAGGAAGCTCTGGATTACTGCAACAGCAACTTTTCTGGACTACTGCGCATCGAGTCTGAGGATGATCAGATGGAAACGGAGCGAGAGCTAAAAAGACAGAATATTTCAGAGCCACTGTGGGTGGGGCTTAGACAGAGCCGACTTTTCGGTTTCTGGATTTGGTACAATGGGCTCCGTGTGGGACCCTGGACCAACTGGAAAGAAGGAAGTCCACCAGAACATCAAATTTCCCAGCACTGCGGTGCCTTAGAGAAGGTGAACGGTCAATATAAATGGTGTGATAAAGACTGCAGATCTAAATTTAGAGTTTTATGTGAGGGGAAATAATATACCACTGTACTAACATCATACAAGCCATCTTACTTTGCTACGTGCTTTAGTTTATGCTCTACTCTCTTTTGCAGTTATTGGCTGTCATTTCTATATAAAAAAATTAAAAAAAAACACAATGTCATGTCATGAAATTAATGCAATTTAATATTAAGCACTTATTCATTTTAACTGGTTGTGAGTTATTTTTTGTGAATAAAGCATTAAGTTGTGATATAAATTCAAACATTACTGTTGTTTCAAATAATTCAATAAACACTGTTTTCCAATCAATTTACTGTACAGTCTTATGTCCTTAATGCAGGAACACTGCATTATATGACAGAAACACAAATACAAAAATATATTGAAAAACGAAGTTTAGCACAAATAAATGTGAAATCAAGGACAGAATAGTGCAGTAAACTGGCATAAAACTCAGAAAAAAAAAGTTGTAAGCACTTGATCAGATATTATTCCCATTGAAAAGCAACAAGTAGAGATTCTATGACAGATAGACAAAATCAGAATCTACTGTTCTGCTTGTGAAAGTCTAGAAACAGAACGCAGAAAGAAAATAATTTACTTACATATTTTTTCCATTCTAAAGTAATAAATACACTTTTACAGATATAAACAAGGCTAAATAATTATTTATGCTTGTGGAATTCTAAATGTTTTTCACATTAGGAAAATAGCTCTTTAGTAAATAATGCACATATATAATAATAAACATGTGATTTGCAATAACTTAATTGGAATACAAATGGCACTGTCGCAGCGCAAGGACCAGCTACTTAAGCTGGACTGGGTTGTTAGTGAATAAGTAGGTTTTTGCTCTGAAATACTGTCTTTTGTCTCACAAGGGGTTTTATTTTGAACACCATTTAAAATCACGGCACACCATTTTCTAGCAAAACAACAAGAGAAAGGTTCTCATTACGTTTCGAATAAGTGCCGTTCCAGCCCACAATGATATTTTTTTCTTCCACGTAATTGCTAATTTCACAACATCTGCATGAGTAATGACATTTCAGACAAGTCTCGGGGAAAAAGGAGGGAAGTAGATTGTAAGCGTTCCGGGTCGCAGTCGTGTTTGGAGCTGACATTCCTCAGGGTCCTTGTCCACACTCAGTAGGTGACCTTTCTGACCCACGGGCAGCATCGAATATGAGCCACAGAGGTCAGCAGAACTAGTGGGCACTTCATTATCAGCCTGTTAGGAGATCTGTTACCATGCCAACCTCTGGGTGACCCTTGTTGAACTTACTCAGTGAGTAGCATTAATTAGAGACATCGTGCATAAACGCAGTTCTGTCGACATTAATGCATTTGCCACATGCTTCAGGAGAGGGAGTGTACTGCATTACGCCATTTTTCACACTGCTACATTTCCCTGAATTTCTCAGACATGGAGGAGGTCACATGGTTGCATTTTTGTAGTCGAGGACACTTTGTGCATTTTATTTTCAACGATCAGAAATTGTAAAACACCTTTACAGCTTCCCTGTTAGCCGTGAGTGTTTTATGGAAACTAAAAAAATCACCAAGGCTGCATTTATTTAATCAAAAATATGAAATAAATGCAGTAATACTGTGAAATACTGTAAAATTGTTCAATATTATATCTATTTAAAATAACTGTTTTCTATTTGAATATATTTAAAAATGTAATTTATTCCTGTTTTTTGTTTGTTTGTTTTATTTAATCTCTTGTTCCACAAACATTTGAATTCTGACATTAATCCACAATTATGTCTTCATATGACAATTATGTCACAATTATGTCGACATTAATTTCTTACATCTGTGGAAAAACAAAGGTAAAAAAAAAAAAGAAGAATGTTTATGCTGCACACACACACACACATATGTGACTCTGCCTGTGAAAACCCAGCTAAAGTCTTTTTTTTGTGTGATTTACTATTTTACATAAAATCATCCTTCATAATGTGAAGAACATTCTGTGAAAATGTAACCTTGACATCTTTAATACTGACT